AAAACCCTCAACCAGACAACCTGACCCTGTTCTCACAAAATCCCAAGGGAGCTCAACCTGGCTGTTACAACAGCAGCCACAGCCACTTCCTTTGCTCCTAGACCTGTTGTACATCGAGATACCGCTGTGTTTATTAACATGTTCCCACTGCCTTTTTATAAGGGTGTTTCTGGTGTATAGGAAAATTTTGGTTCAGGTCTCTTGAGAACTGAGTTCAGAAATGGAAGTGGTGTTCTGTTGTGCGTGTTTCTTTGTTGTTGATTTTGTGGGGAAAGGTAGCTGCACTTCCTGCAGGTGTTAAAATTTCAGTTACACTTCTCTCCCCCAGGATTTTGAGGAAGGGTGTTTTCTGCTCACAAAATGTGATGCCATTCAAATAAGTCAACAGGAGATCTACCCTACCGACAAAGGAAGTGTTACAGTGTCTTTCTTGTCAGCTATGTTCAGACCTTTTGTGGAAGGTTATCAGGTAAGTTGTTCTTCAGAAAATTATCTTCTTTCTCCTGTGTTTTATGGGGAAACTAGGAGAGCTGTGACACTCCTGCAGTATAAACAGTGACTGTTGTCATGGCTGGGGATTGCGGGAGTTGAGAAACTGCAGCAATACATATCTTGAACATCACCCTGCCCCCGGGATCCTGATGTCAGCTTTTGGCTCAGGCGTTTCCAGTTGACTAAAGCAGTAACTACCTTGCAATGTGATGGCCCGTTGTGGGTTTACAAGCTTCACGGGGGAGTGTGCTCCTACCAGGTTCATTGCTCTTTCTTAGGAGGAGTTCTTGCTTAATTCATTGTGTGTGGGCTGTCCTGCCAGGTGCGGAAATGAGTTTGCATCCCATATCTGATAGCTGTTTTTGGAAGTCATTAATTGCATCCACCTCTCTTTAAATTCTTCTGGTTTTCCAAGGTTTTAATAAGATTAGACACTTGTGTTCCTGTAATAAGCAACGTGTACAAAACTAGGAGGCTAAAGTATGGCAGCATAAGGTCGGTGGGACCGAAGACGTTTGAACCTGGTAGAATCTGTTTACTATCTGGTGTGTGACTTGGGCTGCACTGTACCCATTTGCCCGTTTTTTCCCAGCTGTAAAACACATATTGCTTTAAAAAAACTATACTTTTTTTGATTGTGAGAACAGGAATGTTAAATTAATGTCCAAGGTAACTATTATAGTAATACTGAATCTTAATTTTAATGTTAGGATTCTCATGCCGGTTAAACAATAATTTCAGGTGCTCTATGTAATGGTACCTTTTGAGTTCCTCTCCTACGCTTTTCAAAGTGTAACAGTATTGCTCACTTGTGAGGACACATCTGTTTGTCATTCATAACAAGCTGACAATCATAAGGAAAGGAGTGCTAACTTTTTTTTTTTTTAAATGTTAGTTAATTTTCAGATACCTCTCAAAGGAAACAAAAGAAGCCTTTACTGAGAAGCAGTTCATACCTGGAGTCCGCAACTTTGTTTTTCAGCTTCTTGAGAAGGGTGTGTAGAGCCATTACGCAATACGATTTTACAAGTCTAGCCTGTTAATGGACAGTGATAAAACTTTTAACTGAGTTTCTGCTTTCTCTGTAGGGAGCACGCAGTGTTACGAAGCTCTGTCTTCTGACATGCAGAAAAACGCCTTAGCGGCTCTTGTGCAACTAGGCGCAGTGAGGAAGAAGAAAACGTAAGTTAATGTTGGCTTTCTGGTGTACAGAAGCTGGCGTGCGGGCTTACTGGCGATTTTTGATGACTGAGCCATTAGTGTGAAGCGGAACAGTGGAACCCCGACTGCCCAAGCACCAGTCAGCTGAAGGTTGATTGGATTTACCTGAGTCGTGGGGAAGACCCAGGTGGTTCCTTTCTGCAGAGGCTGTAGAAGCAGAGTGGCACCCCCTCATAGTGAACACACTCCCGTGGGACTCAGTAACAAAATCCATTAACTCATGCGTAGGCTGCTTCTGACTCCCTCTACCTTTTGGCTTTCAAAGTTTCTCCCAAGGCTTTGATAAGCAAAGAGGACAGTCCACGCTTATTTTTAATAGATGAGTTGTTCTGTGTGTTACAGTAAGCCTCATCAGGCAATGTAAGCAATAATCAGGAGTACCACTAACTTTTGGGGGGGTTCAGCGCTGACATCTCAAAGCAATTTAACTGGAAGCTTACTCATTAAAGTCTTTTAACACTGTTCATGGTTTATAGGCCCGAGATTAAAAACCAGCTATCATTACACAAAAATAGGTGACATGCATTTCCCGTTATCAAATTAATTTGTGTTGTGGTGCTTCTTTCTGTATTTAAAAGGATAACCGTGGAAGCCCCTGCTGTGGCAAGTCCCCACGTACTCTTGAGTGTTTCACAGAACATAGCTGGCTGCTGATGACCCTGAGGTGTTTTCTTTACGCCTCTGTTCAGGAAATGAATTGGTTAAGGTTTCATAGAATCATAGCATTGTTTAGGTTGGAAAAGGCCTTTAAGATCATCAAGCCCAACTGCTAACCTAACCCTGCCATCCCACCACTATGCCACATCCCTAAGCACCTCGTCTGCCTGTCTTTTAAATACCCCCAGGGATGGGGACTCAAGCACTCCCCTGGGCGGCCCCTTCCAGTGCCTGACAACCCTTTTGGTTCATAGTGCTCTTGGGAAGTGCACAAAGTGCTGTCGTCGTGTCACCGCGCTAAATAGGTGTCTATAGCTAAAGTACCCTTTCACGTAAAAGGAATAAATCAATCGAGTGCAATGGAATTTGACATCAGCTGAAGATTTGGTTCGGTTTCAGAGAAATAGTGTTGAAAATCACGGGATTGAAAACAAACACACGTTCTGTTCCTGCAGTTGTTCCTAATAAAAATCAAGGGCAGAGAGAGGCATTGGGGACTGTGAACAAGAGGAAGGCTAAAGAAATGGTAACTGTCCTTGAGCACAGTCTGCTTAGAAGTCTGCCGTGTCCTTAAAATGAATATGTATGCCGGTAGGATGAAAAATATGGTGTAATTATGAAAATGTTTAATTCAGGTTATTTGTATAGAAATGACAGGAATAAGAATTACTCATTGAAGAAACGTGGTTTGTGTTTTTTTTTTTTTTTTTTCTTTTAACTGTAGGTCCAATGGATTCACTTACAGTGTAAACCAAGAGGCTGTTAATAAAACCCTGGACATGTTTGGTAAGCGTTCTCTAATTAATTTGAAGAGAGCTGCTCAAGTTATAAATTGCTTTGGACAATGCACATACATTAGACGTAGTGGTTTTGCCCTAGTATTTCCTTAGATCTATCTGTATAAAAATCCTAATGATATATTTATTATTTTTATTTTTTTTTTACAATACTTTTTCTGGTGTCATTGACTGCAGCTTTGAATCTCCCTTCTGTATTTGAAATATGGACCAAAGAAAATAAAGCAAAAAGTAGTTTAATGGAGTGGGATTTACAGCATTTTGATAAGTGGTTGGTTGTTTTTTTTTATTTTTTTGTTGTTAGATGCTAGGATACCTGTACAGAAACCTGTGGCTGCACGACTCTAAGGGGTTCCCGGTGCCGTGGCTGGATGAGAACGCGCCTGCTGAGAAGGGGGACCAGCACCCAGCCGGAGCCGGGAGGGGAGCGGGCACGGCTCCCCTCTCGCCCGGCCAGCGCGGGGGGG